CCCCAAAACACCTACCCTCACCCCCCACAACACCTACCCTCCCCAACACCCCTACCCTCCCCAACACCTACCCTCACCCCACCAACACCTACCACCCCCTCCCCAACACCTACCCCTCCCCCCCAACACCCAGCCCCTCACCCCCAACACCCCCAACACCTACCCCCTCAACACCACCCTCACCCTCACCACAACACCTACCCCCTCCCCCAACACCCCACCCCCTCCCCCACACCTACTCCCTCACCCCCCACCAACACCTACCCTCCCCACAACACCTACCCTCCCTACACCCCCTACCTCACCCCACCAACACCCCCCTCCCCAACACACCCTCCCAACACCTACCTCACCCCCCACCAACACCTACCTCACCCCCCACCAACACCAACCCCTCCCCCCAACACCCCACTCCCTCCCCAACACCTGACCTCACCCCCACCAACACCTACCCTCCCTCAACACCTACCCCTCACCTCCCAACAACACCTACCCTCACCCCCACCAACACCAACCCTCCCCCAACACCTCACCCCTCCCAACACACCTACCTCACCCCCACCAACACCCACCCCCTCCCCAACACCTACCTCCCCCAACACCACCCCTCACCCCCCAACAACACCTACCCCCAACACCTACCTCACCTCCCCACAACACCCTCCCTCCCCACCAACACCCTCACCCCCCACCAACACCTACCCCCAACACCTACCCCCAACACCCCACCTCACCCCCACCAACACCTGCACCCTCCCCAACACCTACCCTCACCTCCCAACAACACCCACCCCCTCCCCCAACACCTACCCTCACCCCCCACCAACACCTACCCCCTCCCCACACCTCCCCCTCTCCAACACCTCCTACCCCAACACCTACCCTCCCCAACACCCACCCTCCCCAACACCTACCCTCACCCCACCAACACCTCCCCACCAACACCTACCCTCACCTCCCAACAACACCCACCTCACCCCCACCTCACCAACCTCCCCACACCTCACCTCCCACACCTCACCTCACCCCCACCAACACCAACCCTCCCCCAACACCTGCACCACCCCCACCAACACCTACCCTCCCCAACAACACCAACCCTCCCCAACACTCCCATCACTCCCTCCCCAACAACACCTACCCTACCCCACCAACACCTACCCCCTCCCCCAACACCTACCCTCACCCACACCAACACCTACCCTCACCAACACCTACCCCCTCCCCAACACCTACCCCTCACCCCCACCAACACCTACCACCCCTCACCCCCCATCAACACCTACCCTCACCCCCCCACCACCTCACCCTCACCCCCATCAACACCTACCCTCACCCCCACCAACAACACCAACCTCTAACAACACCTACCCCCTCCCCAACACTCCAACACCCTCACCCCACCCAACACCTACCTCACCCCCCACCAACACCCACCTCACCCCCACCAACACCCACTCCTCACCCCCCACCAACACCTACCCTCACCACCCAACAACACCTTTCCTCACCCCCACCAACACCTACCCTCACCCACCACCAACACCTACCCCCCCTCCCCCAACACCTACCCTCACCCCCCACCAACACCTACCCTCACACTCAAAGACGCCAAATATAAGCTTAACTCAAAGACCACAACAGGATAAGCTTGACTCAAAGACCACAAAAGATCAACTTACCTCAAAGACATCAGAGGGTTCAATTTAGAAGTGGGGGGGAGGGGAAGAACTCTTAAAGAACGGGGTGGAGGGAGGGGAAGGGAGAGGGGAGAGGTGGAGAGGGGGGAGGTTGTCTACTTCCACTCCCTGGCTACCCTAGGGTGTATATATGTGTGTGGCAGTGTGAGTCAACGCTAATATTATCCTGAGAACCACCATCACTACCACTACTACCATCATCATCGTCTCCAATACCAACATCCAATACTAATACCATCATCATCATCACTACAACCATCACTGCAACTATCATACTACAACTACTACCACCACCACTACAACTACCACCACCTGTACTAGCACTACAGTCACTAACATCACCACCAATACTAAATCTACCTTCACTAGTACCACCATCACTAGCACCACCACTACTACTACCACCACTACCAGCAACCCCATAACCACTATCACCATCATCACCACTACTATCACCACCACTACCATTACCAGTAGGATAATTAAGACGTTGTTAGTCACGTGGCGCACCTCCACATAGTCCCAAATTGTCACTTTGTGGTTGTGGTACTTGTTGTGGTTGTGGTACTGGTTGTGGTTGTGGTGCTGGCTGTGGTTGTAACTCTTCTTTGTGGTTGTGAGTCTAACCGTTCTCTGAGCTCGTACATTTGACTTCAGTGACTGGTTGAGACTTAATTGTGACTGTTTGGGACTATGGTTGTGACTTAGCTGTGACTGTTTAGAACCATGGTTGTGACTTAGCTGTGACTGTTTAGAACCATGGTTGTAACTTAGCTGTGACTGTTTAGAACTGTGGTTGTGCCTGGTTGTGACTTAGCTGTGACTGTGGTTATGACTTGGTTGTTGTTGACTGTTTTCTGTGTATAACTTTTCCTATGACGGAAGCTTTTATCCCTTTCACTGCGTTTCCCACACTTGCCATTTTATTCTAGCCATCACCAGACGATTCTATTCACCCTAAGGTAACCTCCCACAGCCAAAAGGTTAATATGTGACCTCGACTAATATTTCATGACTTACTGACTGGCTGTGAGTCTGAACCTTGGCTGTGACTCATTAACTGACTGGTTAACTTGAGTGTAATTAACCGTCAAAAACTGTAGCCAGCTGGACCCTATATTGGAAGCATCCTTGGTCAAATTGCCTCACTGTTTGCCATTTTTGTATCCCTCCAGTGCCTATATACAGTACATGCAAAACAACTGTAACCTCGTATGATGGTTTTACTGAATAATAATAACAAGCATTATTAGTAGTAGTAAAATTACTCGGCTCCGCCCAGGTAAGGTATATAAAGTACTGTTATAACATTGGCAGTCATAGTTTGTCCTCCCTGACGCGAGTAACCACCTACCACAACCCGTTGTGCCAATATCTCAGTCGGGGAATATTTTTGGTTCTTGCCCGGACAACTCAGCGGTTCGTGGTCAATAATAATAACAAGGAGCACAACCTTTTGACCCTTGTAATGTGTGTGTGTGTAAAGTTTCAAGTCTCTAACTATTTTCTTTTTGAAGCTATGGCTGGAAAAGACACACACACTCAGACACATTATTTTATTATAAATTAACCATTCGTGTCTGTAAAGTGTGAGTGTGTCTTGGACCTTCAGCATACAATAGACTCAGGCAAGTCAATATTGGTGTAGCTGTTTACTGTGTAGTATTAAGGCTTAGTTAACTGTTTCCATTACAACTTATCTCGTCCATGTGTGATAAACCTAAACAATACTGTCTGTCATTTAAGGTCACATGATGTGTTGTTACAGACGATACACTGTGAGAGATTGATAACGTGTGTGTGTGTGTGTGTGTGTGACAGTGATGATGATGTGTACCTGACTTGTAATTGTTTATATAATACCCTGAGTGTCCCTCGCTGTCACTATCACTCTCCATCACTGTAACTGTCAACCCCTCACCACACACACACAGCTTGACCTTAGGGCGTCGTTAACTATGATCTAACAGTTCCTGATCGTGATGGTGACGTACATGGCGACCTGTGTATTCAACTCTTTAAGACGCCAACGTATCTAAATTTCAATCTTATGACGTAAGGAACATTGAGATATAAAACCCCTATGACATAACAACACTCACCAGCCGCTACGCCATCACTCTGCTCATAACAATTTGACCCTGAGAGTTTGACCATTGACCTCATGACGTCACTCTTCTGTATGGCCTCCAAAGGAAGTCCCTGGATCAGCTCTAGTACAACAGCTGACGTCATACAACAGTGAGTTATGGTGAACGAACACCCACCCACCCACCCACCCCACACCCACCCACCCACACACACACACCGACCTCCTGGTGGGAGAGTTGTAAGGCGTGTGTGATGATAACTGACGAGATAATTTTGTATGTCTTGTAACTCTCGGTCAATAACTGTAACTGTAATGCATCAATGCTGTAACTGATATTAACTGTACAGTATGTCTAGTAACTGAGGCCAACTGTAACTGCCTGTACCCTTAATTGCTTCACGCTAACTATAATATGGACCATGACAATTGTAAGGCCCAGTACCAATGTCTAACTACTTGCTGGTATCACTACACTAACAACCACTAATTACATGTTGATATACACAGCCATTGATATAAGGAACAGAAATATAGGATTAACTTTATATAATCAGAGAGTAAATTCAACATATCACATTGTTAATAATTACTGTTTCATCTCTTATTATTATTATTATTATTATTATTATTATTATTAGTAGTAGTAGTAGTAGTAGTAGTAGTAGTAGTAGTAGTATTAGTAGTAGTAGTAGTAATAGGAGGAGTAGTCACAGTATTTGTTCAAGTATTTTCATCTTCATCATTATTATTATTATTATTATTATTATTATTATTATTATTATTATTATTAACTGGACAGTAGATGACACAGGTAAAGTCATAAGGCATTACCCACCTGGAGAAGACACCAACAGACAACAGTGAATAAAAAACACAAAAATAATCAGGGGTATAAAATGTAAACACCCTAACGCTACCATGGGTCGGGTTAGGTTAGGTCATGGTAGGTTGGGTTACTTTAGGTTAGGTTAGGTTAGGTCATGGTAGGTTAGGTTAGGTCATGGTAGGTTGGGTTAGGTCATGGTAGGTTGGGTTACTTTAGGTTAGGTTAGGTTAGGTCATGGTAGGTTATGTTAGGTCATGGTAGGTTGGGTTACTTTAGGTTAGGTTAGGTCATGGTCGGTTAGGTCAGATCATGGTTATGTTAAGTCAGGTCAGGTCAGGTTTGGGTGGTTAATCTTCAGGTGATCCCCTCGTCTACTATTTACCTCGTCACGTCGCCATATACCAGCAGAGACATCCTTCACGGGCGGCCCACAGAACCTGCTTTCACTCCGCGGCGGCCATGTGCGGGCGTGCGGGTGGGCAGGCGTTGTGTGGCAAAGTATGCGGGTGAGATGGGTCCAGATATGCGAGCGGACGCGTGGTACGTCCAGGTATGCGGGCGGGCGGGTGTGTGGGCGGATATGCGTGGACGGACGGTCAGGTGTATGTGTGGGCGGGCGTAAGTTAAACCGGTGCCTCTGGTCGAAAGTGGGCGGCTGTGGGCGGAATCCTCAACTAGTTAACGGGGCACAAGCAAAACGAGGAACTTGGCACAGGTGCGGGCGTGGGCTGACGCTGGGCACGTGGGCCAAGCGTGGGTAGTGTGGGCGTGGGTAGCTGAGGCGTGGGGGTAGTTGGGCGTGGCAGGGCGTTGCTCCGAGTACAAGTGTAGTATTCTCGGGGCGTTACTATAAACAGTGTGTACCACCTGCCTTCATCTCACACGGTGTTTCGTAATCACTAAAAGATCCAAAATTATCTTATTTATTTTCCGTTTCCAAACACCACAAATTACCCCATACTGTTTACTACAATGTCTCCTGATGTCACCAACTAGATGAGGAATAAGTTCCTCTTAGACAAAATATGAAAATCTCTCTTTACAACACAAGTGAAGGAGCTAACAGATCTAGTTTCCTTTGAATGTGTTTATAAATAAGTTATAAAACAAAATTATCAGACCATTTAACACTCACAATAAGCTGCCGGGTTTGTGTCACCATCAAGTTTTTTGTTAAATTTCAAAAAGTATCTGTCAACAAAAGGCACGTGAGCGGCGCACCAAATACACACACACACACATACACACACACACACACACACACTCAAGGTCACCACGCTCGAGATGTGAGTTACCAAGCTGCCTCCCAGTCAGTCACGGTCACACAGTCGTCGTGCCATCCTCCCTGCTGGTGATTTGAACAGTAACACTACACCTGATGACCCAACAGCACCATCTTGCAGACTGGTGAATCCGAAGATCACTACAACACAACATTGTAATCGCTCCTTGGCAATGCATTGTGACGACGCTCGATGGTCCAAGAGTGTTCAAACATCCAAAGCACCATCTCCCTGAACCATGGCACCATCTCCCTGAACCATGGCACCATCTCCCTGAACCATGGCACCTTCTCCCTGAACCATGGCACTATCTCCCTCACCATGGCACCATCTCCCTGATCCATGGCACCTTCTCCCTGAACCATGGCACCATCTCACTTACCATGGCACTATCTCCCTCACCATGGCACCATCTCACTGAACCATGGCACCATCTCCCTCATACATCACCACCTCTCAAGGCACCAAGTGTTACAAGTCCTCAGGTACTTAACATAATCTCACTTACTGGAGACACAGATCATCATCATCATCATCATCATCATCATCATCATCAACTTAGTCTTAATTCATACACACAGTGAAGAGCACGCCTGGATAGCACCAAGCACGTTACAGGTGGTGCTGGAGGCTGGTGGGCTGCACCATCTGTGACGAAGGTGGTGGAGGAGGAGAAGGCATGGCAGCATCCCATTTACCGGGCCTCTGGGGTGAGCTCAGCCGCCCAGACCACACTACTAATCCCGCCCTGGTGGCCACATGTCTCACGCGAGAATTAACTCCTGTTTATTGTCACTTCACACACATCTGCCTCTTATTACGTCACCATCATAGCGTTTCCTTCCTTCGTCACCCACCACACACAGCTTCACTATACACCCGCATCAGTGACCTCAAAGTTACGCCACACAAGAGATTTCACAAACGTTGATTATAATGTTTTTGTTTACATAGCGCGAGTTCCCAGGGGAAGAGCAGAGCGTGAGTGTGGGTGTAGTGGTGGTGGAGGCAGGGCGGGGGAGTATGTGGGAGGTGATGGGGGAGGGGCAGAGAATGTGGTGGTGGTGTGTTGTGATTGGTGTTGAAGAGTAGTCAATGGTGGTAGTAGCGAGTTGTGGATGGTGGTGGCGGCGGGTTGTGAATAGTGGTGGCGGCGGGTGGTAGTGGTGGTGGCAGGGAGTGTGTAGTGGTAGGCCGCCAGCGTCAGCCCCAGCGCGGAGAGACACCCATAGGCTTAATAATAGCCAGGGGTGGGTGGGTGTGTGAGTGTGCCAGGCAGATGGTGTGAGCGGCCGCCCCCACACCAGCTACTGACGCGACCACCTCCACCTCCTCCTCCTCCAACCTGTTCTCTCTTCTTCTCAATATTTCTTGCTTTGTCTCTGATATTTTAAACCATTTTGCTCTCTGCTGAGTGTTCAGTGACACAGGTGTAGCACCAGCAGGGAGGGCAACTAGCGTCACAAGGGAACAGGTGCGTGGTAAAAGTAGCGCTCCAGAAGTGAGAGCCAGTGGGAGGAACAGGTCGCTGCCCACAGTGGCGGGTTACCAGGTGGTGGTGCCGTGGAGACGATGGCAGCAGGTGGTGTGGTGGAGGAGCAGCAGGTGGTGGTGAGTGTGGAGCGTGCGCCAGAGCGGGTCGTGGTAGCCTCGAGGGAGCGTCTTCATTCAGTGGTGGTGGCCAAGCCGACCCCCGGATGTTTCCCCCGGATACTGCCCGCCCCCTACCTCGTCCCGTCACGCCCACCGCCCATCTCCTTGCTGGTTGCTGGTGGGCGGGGCCTCCCTCACTACCTCTGCCGCCGCCCGGGGACGACAACACCTGCGGCATAAGAGCACATTATTAATCTACCTGTGGCACTCACCCTCACTTACTCAAGATCAATAACGTATTAAATAACATGACCCTCACAACCACCAGGTGTATCAATACCCATTCACACTACTGGCACTAAATTAACACCCAGACCACCTTAACACATCCACACAGGCTACCTGACAACACCTGTGACCTCGTCCAACACTACCCAGTAATTAACCAAGACGCCAACACATACCTGCCAGTTTTCGTTTGTTCTTGATGACTGTATAGCTCAAACACCTGCCCCCCGAGGCGACCCCTGTACACACACACACACACACACACACACCTACCTTTCACCACTCATACACTTTCCATACCATCTACACCTTCCATACCGCCCATCTACCCTCCACACCAGCCACAGAATCTACACACCACCCACGCAACATCCACACCACCAAAACTCCATAATTATACTCCACACAACCTACACAAGCACAAACTCCTCCACGTGCACGACACACACACACACACACACACACACACACACACACACACACACACACCACCTACATGGCAAACGAGGTCCACCTGTCCTTAATTAAGATAACACTGGGCAGGCAATGTAACAGACGCGATACACTGACAGGATATGACACTTATATGGGGGATATGGCACCTGTATAAGAAGAACATAAGAAAATAAGGAGTCTGCAATAGGCGGGTTGGCCTGTGCATGGCAGCTCCTGTCGAGAGTTACTACCACTCTCTATCCATGAATCTATCTAGCCTCCTTTTGAAACTTTCCAGAGTTCCCGCACTTACTACAAAGTTGCTAAGCTTGTTCCACTCGTCTACCACCCTATTTGTGAACCAGTTTCTTCCTATCTCCCTCCTAAACCTAAACTTATCCAACTTAAACCCGTTGCTCCGAGTCCTATCCTGCTCGGATATTATAAGAACTTTATCTATATCCCCTTTATTGATTCCTTTCACCCACTTAAATACTTCTATCATATCTCCCCGCACTCTTCGTCTTTCTAGGGAATGCAAGTTAAGTTTCTTTAACCTATCCTGATATGGAAGGTTTCTAAGTCCCGGAATCATTTTTGTCATTCTTCGCTGCACCGACTCTAGTGAATTGATATCCATTCTATATTAAGGGCACCAGAACTGAACCGCATAATCGAGGTGCGGCCTGACTAGCGCAAGATATAGTTGCAATAAGACCTCTGCACTCTTATTACTTACACTTGTAGATATAAAACCGAATACTCTGTTTGCCTTATTTCGAACATTAACGCATTGTTTTCTAGGCCGTAGGTCCGGGCTTACAAGTACTCCTAGGTCTCTTTCACAAGTCGACTTCTCTAGGTTGATGTTGTTAAGGCTGTATACATTATCAGTATTTGTTCTTCCAATATTAAGTACGCTGCACTTGCTGGTGTTGAATTTCATTTGCCATTTTTCAGACCACTCCTGCAGTTTATTTAAATCCTCCTGTAGTGCATTTGCATCCTGCCCTGAATTAATCTGCCGCCCTATTTTGGTGTCATCCGCAAACTTGCTTATGTCACTGCTGATCCCAGTATCTAGATCGTTTATGTAGATTATAAACAAGAGTGGGCTTAGTACTGACCCCTGGGGAACCCCACTGTATGTAGGATCTGACAAATGCAAGGGGAATTTGGCACCTGTATGAGGATTTCGACACCTGTGTGAGGATTCTGACACCTGTTTGTAGGATCTGACTATGGTTTATCTTACACCTGTATGGGGGATTTGATACCTGTATGAAGATTTGGCATCTGTATGGGGATCTGACACCTGTGTGGAGGATCTGGCACGTTTATGGGGAATCTGGCACGTGGAAAGGGGATCTGACACTTGTATGAAGGATCTGACACCTGTATGGAGGATCTGACACTTGTATGAAGGATCTGACACCCATGGCCCCTCACATCTCACCCACCTAACCTAACTTAACCTAACCTTCAAGTTACAGCTCAGAGTAACTCGACAAGGCGCTGAGATTGGTCACAGGTTAGAGGTTATCCTTAGAGAAATAACACGAAGAATAATATCTACGACCCAACGTTAACGTCCATTGGTACTTACGAACGAACGAACGAAGGAGAGAGAGAGAGAGAGAGAGAGAGAGAGAGAGAGAGAGAGAGAGAGAGAGAGAGAGAGAGAGAGAGAGAGAGAGAGAGAGAGAGAGAGAGAGAGAGAGACTTTCCCCACACCCTTTACCTATTTTCCCCATCCCCAAAACCCCTACCCACACCTTAACCCCTACCCACACCCCTTAGCCCCTCTTCTCCTCTCTTAACCATCTCCCCACCCCTTAACCCCTGTCCCCACACCTCTAACCATCTTCCCCACACCCCTACCTCCCATCCTTTAACCCCATCCCCACATCCCTAAACCCCTCCCCACACCCCTTAACCCCTCCCCACACACCTTATCCCCTCCCACACCCCTTAACTCTTTCCCTCCCCCTTAAACCAAACCACACACGCCCAGAACGTAAACATACAACAAAGAGCTAATTATCGCATCTTTTTTTCACCTCTGACCTTGACCTTTGCCCCCAAGGTCATGGTTTGTTTACACCACACATCGTCAGGTGATGTTACGCATTTGTATGACTCTTGTTCACATTACCTTGGCCGGTTGTAAGACGCATGGAGCAGTCTCGAAATACTGTAATTGTGAGAACCTGTATCGTAGAGCGGTTTATATCATGGTAGCTAAGTGGTATGACTTAGTGAGACAAAGAAAACTTAACGTAACGTAACGTAACGTAACGTAACGTAACCTAACCTAACCTCACATAACCAAGCTTAACCTAACCTTATCTATCCCATTCTAACCTAACTTGACCTAACTTAATTTATCCTAACCTGACCTAACCTAACTTGACCTAACTTAATTTATCGTAACCTGACCTATCCTAATCTGACCTATATTAACCTAAAAAACTTAACCTAGCCTAACTTAACCTGTCCTGACCTAACATAATTCTATCTAATATGTATGTATGTATGTATGTATGTATGTATGTATGTATCCTCCTGCCTCTTATCATATTATTCTACACCATATAAGGGCATAAACGAGTAAAGCTCTGTAATAAGCAGCCCTCAGCACTCTCATAACAAGGCTCAATAATGTAAATATGGCAGCTTGATTCCATTATTAGCTCAGTATCTTTTAGGTGAATAAATTGTAAGGAATATTGTGTTTAATGGCTATAAAAACTGGTCATCATATAAGGGTGAGGTTTTGGGTAATATCAATGGAATATCGACGTTAAGTACTGCATAGGGTGATTATGGTGTGTGTGTGTTGGTTATGGTGTATGGTTATGGTATGTATGGTTATAGTGTGTTATGATGGTTGATTCGGTATAAAAATTAATATTTTCCTACTTACTGTATATAAAAGGGCAAGTGCGGTGGCTGAGTGAATAAAACACTCGTCACCCGTCCTAAGGGTTCTATGGTTCGATCCCAGTATTCCAAGTTGTAAATAAGGACCTTATTGACCTTACTTCATCAGACGGAAGTGAAAACGGTCGAGTGTTGTACCGGCCACACTGTCACCTTGTGTACTGAAGGTTTAAGTAGATGGGGTCCTCAGGTTTATGAAAGTCGGTTTATATAATTCTGGTTTATGTGTGATTTATGGCAAGTGATCCGATGTATTGAAATTCCGAGTTAATATGAGTTAATATTCTAAAGGGGAATTATATTTTTACACACGATCATTATATAATTAAGTTACAGGTGATGTTTGTCGTGCTGGGCCAAACAAAGAGTTCAAAGGTCACTCTTTTTGACAGGATATGACACAACTGACCACATATTTGGATAATAAAATTGAAAAAAAAAACATTAAAAAGTATTCCTTGAGGCTCAGACCATCTCACAGCTAAGTACTGAAGCTGATGTACCCGAAGATGTGGCTAAAATATATCAGGTGTTGAGCAGTGTTAATTAGCTACCATTAACACCTGGAGCTTGACGAGACATTGTTTGTGTGTTCACGTGTAAGTTTCAGTGTAGAAATCAGCCCAGGTGTTGAATCACTACTGCCTGGTGCTCTCACGTTAATAAGGATGAATAAAGGTGAAACTTGTACCATCAACTTCCACATGTGAATATGAATAACAACAACAACTTGAATGGTCAAAAAGACGCAATAAATAACAACAATAACATCAACAACACCAATAACATCAACAACACCATTACAACTACTGTACTACTAATAACAATAAAGTCAAACAGCCAAAAGAAACATTAAATACAAGTCAAACAGAACAAAGATAACCACGATAAGTGTTAACCCAGGTCCATTGTTTATCTAACCTGGACTTAAGAAAATATACAGCAATCACAGGTGAGTTTTTACAACCTAACATAAACACCTTTGGTAATCTCACCTACCCTAACCTAATTTACCCTACTCTAACTGTAACCTACCCTACCCTATTATAACCTAACCAAACCTACCCTACCTTAACCAATCATCACCAAATATAACTCTAACCTACACTAACTTAACCTAACCTAACCTACCCTACCTTAACCAATCATCACCAAACATAACCTAACCCAATTAACTTAACCTAACCTAACTCTCCATCCATTCTTCCACAGGTAGAGTTAGGGAGGTTAATCACCAAATAAAAATTAGAAGGGGGGAATAATCTTTCAAGTGATGTAAAACAATTCTTTCAATAACCAAATCACAAGAGATGGCAGTTCACATGCGCACACAACACCAGGTGATCAGTCCATGTAAAGACACACACACACACACACACACACACACACACACACACACAATCCGGTTTGACGAAGGTGGTCGGGGAGGGATTGGGAAGGGAAGGAAGGGGGGGGGGGGAGGGAGGGGAGACAGGGGGAGGAGAAGGAAGGGAAGGTAGGAGGGGAGGATACAAATTCATTGCCCTGGAGGTCAGCAGGGAAAACCCGCACCCCCCAAAGATG